TGCGACAAAATGAGTGTGCAATATTTCTTTTGCATGTGTTTTAATAATCTAGAAATTTGGTTGACAAAAAGAAAATGTATCATAAAATTGCATTGCATTTGAAATTCATTCTCTATTTCAATTTCAATGTATTTGGAATTGACAAAATTTAGGAGAATTTTGAGTACAATGCTACCCCAACCAATCGCCCATCGATCGTCACCACCACCATAAATATTTTTCCACTTTAGTCTCCCATATATCAACTTATAACTCTTATACTACTAATATAATTGTTCATTTTTTAGCATAGAGTGCAATATTAACAATGTCACACGATCTTGTAGAACCCTTGATGGCCACAAAAGCGCCGCGAAGCAGGCGACCACTTCATGCAAGTATATATATCCAAGTAATAAGCAATTTTAAATGAGTGTCGTGTATTGCTTTCATAAGGAAACGTGTTAAGAAATTGATTCGAAACAAAAAAGCTATAGTTTACTAACTATTGTAACCTAGTTTGGATGTCGAAAAAAACATTAAGGGAAATCCTAATTCTATCAGACTCCACAGAAAGCAAAACAAAACAAAAAGCAGTTCAAAATTTTTTAGTGTTTTTTCAATATTAATGAGGATCATACCTCAATGATTCAGATGTGGCATCTGCCTTGATTTTTGTGCAAATTTCTCTTATGTGGTTGTTGTCAACCAAGGATATTGTGTTCTTCTTAAGCCTATGTCTAGGTCACAAGAAGATTTGGAATTCCACAAAGATATCTTCCACCTATCTTTATAGCATCCCTAATAATTTTAAATCCATGCTAATTGTTGCAAGATCCAGAATAAAATATTTATATTTTACTCGAATCTTGTGGTTAACCTAATTGTTCCACTACACTTCTACTGACATCATAGATCATAATAAATTTTAACGCCCTAGTTGGCCAAGTTATGAGTAAACATAGGCTATAAAGTTAACCAACAACCTTTAACAACTTAAAGCGTAGAAAAACATATATGAGAAATGAAAAACAAAAATCAAACCAAGAAATTCATCCAAAAATAACAGAGACACGAGAAATATTTAGCTACTCATTGCTCAAGAGAAACAAAGAAAATTTCATTGAAATAAAACACGAAAGAAACATTTTTATTGAAATAAAAATAACTTTGATCTCCTCTCTTACAATAAAAGCACTCAACTTCTTTGAAAAAATCTCTCTAAAAAAAAAGAACAAATGAAATTTAAGAGGAAAAGAAAACCTCCCTCTAAACCTAGCCTCCTTCAGAAATCTCTCCCTAAAGCTTTATAAAACCCTTCAAATATGTTCTTTAATAGCTTTGAGTTCATAGTCCTTCCAAATTTTGTCAGAATCCCGTACTAAGAACTTTCCAAAACAGAAAATATACGTCGGCGTGACCACGCCCGATCTGCGGCGTAATTACGCCGCAAGCTCGTGTTGGGCGATGTGGTCACACTGAAATCCGTCGTGGCTACGCTATCCCTCCATTGCATGGGTCTTCTCACCACATTGGGTATGACCACACCCGAAACCTGCATGACCACGTTGCTCAAATGGCTTGGCCACGCCAGTTCCAGTCGTGGCTATGCCAATCTGAAATTTCCTAAAACTCTTTATTCTGCTCTGATTTGCATGTTTGTCCTTCCATAACCTACAAAATGTAATTTCAACATTCCAAAAGTGTAAAAATTTGGCACTTCACCCACTTCTTTCAAAATTTCCTTATATCATAAGATGGTGTACATATCCCCATTAAACTTCTTTGATATTTTAAAATGCAATGCAAACGTAATTGTAGAAATGTAGTTTGTAACTAGTTTTATTAAATTTGACCGTTGAAATCCTGAGCCATTTTGTTTTCCCTATCCACACCTTCTTCACTATTTAGAAAAGTTGACTTAATTTTAATTATTTTCATTGGGCAAGAACACAAGTGAAGCGTTTGACCTTCTGCCGAATAAGTTAATCGATACAATATGCAAGAACTTGTGAATTAAAGTCAATTTGTATTCATATTGATTAAAAACCATCTTCCGTACACGCTTGACCTAAAATTATTCCATGCATGCATAGACATTTAGGGAGAGTTCGATTCGCCGCTTGAGAGATTAGGGCAGGTGCGAGGAGGGGGCATTGGTCGTCTTTCGACAATATGAAACGCGGACCCGCGATTTGCGTTTAATACAAAAATGAGAACGGAGTTTTAGAAAAAGCTATAAAAATGGAATTTCCAAACGGATGGTAGCGTTTTGAA